CCTTAAATCTACACGATGCATTCTGGAGACAGTGATGAAGGCGCTGATGAGCTGACCGCACCTGAGTGAGGTGGACAGGGAACCTTAGGCCGACCCCTCAGTGCTACGCTGTAGTGCCTGGGTCCACCCAGCGCCTCCGGGAATCCAAACCCCGACTCTGTGCGTGGTGCCGGCATGAGCAGGCCAGCGGGTGTGTGCGCGCGTGTGGGAGAGAGACAGGCAGAGACCGAGCGCCTCTATTAGATGCTGCACAGAAGCGATTTCCTGAACGTGCCCGATTCCGGGGGTTGCTTGAAGCTCCATGGGCTTCCCGCGGCTGAGAGGTCCACTCCTCCACCGCCCGCTCTTCCTCCCCCGGCACATCGGAGTGTTCACCCAAGTGTCTCTCACCGGCTGTTCTTCCTACAGGAACCGGGGAGGCTTTCTTTGGGGTCACTAAGCGAGGAGGTGGAGGTTAACTAAACTTACTGCGCTCACTTCACAAGACCGTACGTGAGTCATTACACGGTGCCCCTGGGACTGACACAGAGCTGCGTGCCAGTTGCATCTCAGTAAAACTGGAAAAAAAAAGATGGGTCAGAAAACTCTTGTGATTGACTAGTCATCAGTTATGCATCATCCTATAAAGTGAACCACAGAGCTGCCATCAGCTCCAGCTTAAATTTACTGAGCTGTTTCTAAATGCCCCACAGGAGTAAACCAGGCCACATTTTCCCTGAACCGGGTGTGACCAGAAGAGAGATGAATTAGAGGGCATCTGGGTGGCTCAGGTGGTTAAGTGTCTGCCTTTGGCTCAGGTCATGACCTTGGGGTCCTGAGATCGAGCCCCAGGTCAGGTTCCCTGCTTAGCGGGGAGCCTGCTTCTCTCTCTCTCTCTTTCCCTCTGCCCCTCCCCCCTGCTCGTGAGCTCTCTCTAATAAAAATCTTAAAAAAAAGATGAATTTAGAGATTCTTTCCTCCACTACCGCAAAGTGGTGTGGAATTTACGTAATGCTTTTGTGAAGAGCACAGAGACACGAGACTGCAGGCCAGAGTGGGGAAACGCTCAGCCCTGAGCCGTCTGGGGGCACCGCTCTGCCTCTACCCCTCCCATTTCCTTCTCTAAAAAAGTTAATCTTAGTGGATTTCAAATTTTTGGATCGTGGAATCTACTTCCCTCACACCCCCGAAATGAAATCTTATGTAAAACCATGTATATTAAACAAAGAAGAGCTGAGGTTCTGATACATTTGCGGGTTCACACAGTAACATGATGAAGGTACAGAGGGCAGAAGCTAACGAGCTGGTGGTCTCCAGGGGGCTGAAAGCTGGTAGAACGTGCCTGAGTTTGCGTAAACTATCACAAACCTTAAGCTTATGTAAGAACGGTGGCTTCTAAGTGCGTGTGAAGGCCGCGGGACTGGATGGTCGCCGGGTTCCTCCAGCTCTAGAAGTGAAGTGCACGGTCAGAAGCGCTCCCGTGCGTGCAGCCACCCCCCACCCCTGTGCCCCCGGCCCCGCAGGACCCAGGTGTTCCTCCGGTGTGACGTCGTGGTGAGGGGAGGGACTCTGGGGCCACACTGCCTGGGCTGAAACCTGGCTCCACTCAGTACTTATGTGCCCTTGGGCAAGTGACTTGACCTCTGCGTGCCCGTCCTCCCCTGTCAACGAGGGTAAGAGCGGCAGACGCTTCGGCGGGTCGTGAGCCTCCCGCAGCCCCTGGCCTGCGGCGCTGGTTCTCACGGAAGGGGACACACAGCGGGTTCCACCTGCCAGCCTGAACTGGGAGCAGCGCGAAGCTGGGCTCCGGGCTCGTGGCGTGCGTCCATCCCGAGTTCTCTCCGGGGTTCCCGAGCCACGGATGCGACCGGACACGGCAGCTTCCCCGATTCCAAGACGGGAGGCAAGGGACGGCTGGTCCGAGGACCCGGCCAGTTCCTAGCTGCCCCACATTTAGGGTGTCCTCTGACCAGTGCACCTGCCCCTCCGTGAACGGGGGTGTGTGCGGCTCTCCAAACTTCCCCACGGAGTTAGCACGGGCGTGGCCCCCGCCACAAGCCCCAGCTCCAGAGCGATGTCTCCTGCACTCTTGTCCGGAAGGGCGTCACGAGGCCATCGGACAGAGGGGAACGGAGGTGCACAGGTGACCCCCCGCCTGCTGGAATGTTGATCCAGTGCGGCCAAGGAGATGGGTGGTTTGTGGGAATGACTCGAGGAGGAGATGCCTTGATTCTCGGCCTACTCTGCGGACTTTTCACTCACAGCACCAGGCTGAGGTTCCCCATGAAGAAGCGGGGAGGGGTCAGCTGAGACCCCGGATTCAGATTCCCACTGATTCTACTCTGTTGGCAAGACATTAATTGCTTTTCAAGAATCATTTCAAGCATCACGATTCGGGCTCAGATAATTCCATTTCTATAATTGTGCTCTGACTCACATGTGCCTCCTCAAAGACGAGAGGGGGTGGAGAAAGGCACCTCTACTTTTCTCCCCGAGGGAGGTGAACCACGAGCTCACGGAACAAGCTGGGGAAGCTGGGCGGAGGCCTCCGCTCCCCACCTCCCGGCCGTGTCCCTGGCGTGGCTGCCCTCGCCCGAAGGGAAGCCTGCTAACCACCAGGCCCAGCTGGCCTGACACCGTGGCTAAATTTAGTTTCATGATGAGCAGTAAAATTCACATGTTCTTTATTTAGTCCATATAATACACCATTTTTAGAGTTTTTTTTTTTAAAATTGGATAAAAGAGCATATTAAATGGCACGTGTATGAAGTTTTCTCTTCATAAACAATGTCAGAACAAAAAGTTTTGAGAATTACAAAATGTTAAAAAATATGTAGGTACTTAACATTTCACTAAAGCGTAAAGTTACAGATATCTTCTAAAGAAAAATAATTGTGCCACTTACCTATTTTTGCTGTTTCTATGAACTTTTTTTATTCTGTACATAGGACATTTTGTACAAAATATGAAGTCTACATTTTTATTACTTATTACCATAAAACAAAGATACAATGTATGTACAATATTAAAAGGAAGCCATACTAAAGCCACACTAAAAAGACACTCGGAATAGTGACATTTCTGATGTACAGATACATTTTGGAAAGAGTGAAGATGCAGAACGCAGAACTTTATGAAGAAAAACAGTCACCGGTTTATTTTCAATGTAGTACTTTTGAAATCAGTTTGGTACAGAATAAACAGTGTATCTATATAATAATATATAAGTTGAACAATTAGCACAGGGAATCTGAGTACTAACTAGGAAAACTTTAATAGGCCAAAATATTAAATAATAGTCTTGTCAAAGAAAATTAGTCTCTCTCAAAACTCCCCCCCCCCCTTTTTGGTGAATGTTTGTCTTCAATAAAGAGCGGAAATAAAACCTAGACAAGAAGGTGTTCTTACAGGTTGAGCTTTATACAATCACCCAAATCATGGATATTTTGCTTTTTACCTAGGGCAGAAGAGAGTCTTCCCAGAACCCTCTCTCACACACATACTGAACATCCAAAATCAAGGATATTTGAGAATCTATCAGCTAAAGACGGAAGTTCAAACAATGGTATATCAAAATACATAAGACGCTGCTTTATACAATAAAAAGCACCCTTTTTCCCTCAAAAGGAGAAGGCATCTAAACTTTTTTTAAATTATAAATTTCATAATGGTAAAATGGATAGATAACTTGTCAAGTTTCTCAGGAAGTGTTTCTTCTTGCAAAGTGGCCTTTCCCACTTTTAGCTGGGGCAAGCTTTTCAGTTAGTACTTGGCTCCTAACCCAGAACCCCTCCCCCCTTCCATGATCTTCCTCTAGGGACAGAAGGAAATCAACATCACGGGTGGGCTAAGTGACACCGGGGGCAGCAGGTACCACGGCCACGCAGGGAACCAGGTCTGCTTCCCAGTGTTTCCGTGGACACCCAAGACCTCGATTAAAATACAGATCCTAAAAGAAGCCACGTTTTATCTTTTTATGCATCAAGACGTTTAACATGAACTGAATAAAATCTTATGCCAGAGACAAAAGAAACCAGAGTCACTTGTTTAGAAGAGCAGGACGCATCTCAAACGGCTCTCAAGCGGGGTAAAGAAGTCAAAACACGGGCCACCCTGAGAGAAATACGGAGCAGACCAAGCACTAAGTGTAAAGGTGTTTCTCCTCGTGCTATTCCATTCCTAACAAAAAGCTCGACACATGCAAGGAAGTCCGTGAAATCTAATAGCAGCATTTGAAGACCGAGGGGAACTTAGACGCTGTATTTTCCTCATGAGGTGTTTGTAATGTGTGCTCTGTTCACCTGGACGCGGTTCCCGGTAAGCCCTCGCACCACCGCCGCCCGCTGAGGCCTGGGGACCATGTCCCGGCAGTGAGGGGACGTCAGGGTGGCGCCCCGCACGCACCGTGGCATTTTTGTTACTTTACGCCCAGAGGCAGCTGCAGCTCGCGTCCGGCCAAGATGTGGCCTGACTCAAGATGATCTCGTTCTAACCTTCTATAAAATGTAGAAAATGGATTCTCAGAGATGATAACTTTATTAGTTCAAGAGCCTTGTCAAAGGGCAACAATGTTTAGAGAAAATAAAAGTCTGCAAACAAACAAAACATGGGACACATCATTTGAAAATTCCAATTGCAGTCAAGGTAGACAGACAGAGCTCTGTTTTAAAATAAGTTTCTCCTATGAGCTTAACTCCTGGGGTCGCTGGTGCTGGACCCCAGGCTTAGAAATATGGCTTTAACTATACACAGAAGAAGTGACACGTCATAGATGTCACTAATCAAAGGAAAGAGATACCATCAGCAAACACAGCGGCTGAGGATTGTCATGTCACTTTTCCCAGTAAGTTATGTTAGAACGGGGACAGCAAAGAACCATCTCAATGAGATAAAAAGAAAGGAAAAAGAGAAAGGG